TCATCGATCTCCTCCTCCCTTCGTCGTTGTCCTCCCCTTCCCTCCATCATCGGTGTCGTCCTCCCTCCGCCCTTCTCCCTTCCCCCTCCTCCGTCACTATTGATCTCCTCCTCGCTCCTCCCTTCCCTCCCTCGTCACCCATCTCCTCCTCTCTCTTTCGTTGTCCTCCCCTTCCCTCCATGCCCGAGCGCACCATGCGCGCAAATGCGCGCGGCACGCGCACGCCCCGGCGCACTGGCGCACTGCGCATCCAAGTGTCGCGCAGCGCATCCCGTATCGCGCATCAATGCTCGCATCCCCGACGGGCGCACGGCGCGCTACGCACCGCACCGCATAGCATCGGTGATGCGCCGCAAGTATGGTAAATAGCAAAGAGAGATCGGGTATATTTCGTAGGAGTGAGGGTAGCAGTGAATTTAGGCTGCTGTTTAGAACTAGTCAATCGTTCATATGCGTTGACGACTCACGGGGCACTCTGCAGCAAGTCTTTCTTAGCGATCCAGTAAAAGTCATTCAACGGGGGGTACAGAAAATGGACTTTGTACTGTCTGTTTCTTCCCTTTCCACTGTGCTCGACAATTCTATCAACCTCGTGACCGCCATTGATTGCGTGGGGAATCATTGATTCTCGATACGGAAAAGTTTCAAGTGGTTCATATGGAAACAACTTCGGCACATGAAAGATTGGGTACGTGCGCATATGAGTAGGCACGTCGATCGTGTAAGAAGGACCAATTGAGTCATCTCCTACTCAGTTCAACACCTTCCACGGACCTTCGTACTGAGGAAGAAGCTTTCGTGATACACCTTCTTCTTCAGAAAACTCAGACATCTTAACCCAGACATAACTTCCCACTGTGAAAGTGTAAGTCTGGCGCTTTTGTTTTCATGCTTAATCATGGCACCACGTCGCCTTTCCATAGCTGCGACAACAACTTTGTGCAAACGATTAAACTTAGCGTTGTAACCTGGCTGGCCAGGTGTCAGGCCAGGTGGCTGTTCAGGAAACACAGGATAGAGGATTGCGAATTTTCCACCGCAGGTGTAGCCGGTTAGGTGTCATCCCGGTGGAGGAGTGTATGGAGTTGTTGTACAACCCCTGCACAATCGACAACTCCTCATCCCAAGAATTCTGATCAGGCACAATTAGAGCTCGGAGAAGTTGGATCACAGTCTGGTTGATCTTCTCGGCCAGCCCATTGGCTTCGGGATGTCGACCAGATGTCATCTTGAGTTTGATGTCATAGATCTGGGAGGTGAAGTCCTTCCAACCTGCACTTATGAACCTAGTGTCCCGATCACTCACGAGAGTTTTTGGGGGCCCACACTGCAGAATGTACTTCTTATGAAACTCTTTGATCACAAGGTCAGTTGGGGCGTGAGGTGGTAATGGAATCAAATTCAGAAATTTTGAAAAGTGGTCAACCATCACCATTACTTGCGAATATCATTCCTACGCTTCTTCCCCATGTCCGTGCCATCAAGAATAGGAAGAGGATGCAGCAACCCATAGGGCTTCTGCCGAGACGGTGTGATGCGTTGACAAACTTCACACTCAGCCACAAAATTTCGTGCCATTCCTCTCATTCCAGGCCATACAAACTTTTGCTGCAGACTTTCGTATGTCTTCTCAAAACCGAAGTGTCCACTCCGGCCATGAGCCAAGTCCAAGAAGTGAGTAAGGATCGGCTCATGGTTGGGTACACACAGTCGGTCGTGCTTCCCGTAACGTCAGAAAAGTAAACCCTTGCATTCATGGAAATCAGGCTGACTGCTAGGGTCAGCCCGAATCTGCTGAAGGATGGGACTGAGTTCCAGGTCCTTGGCAGTGTGCTCAATGAGTTCCTCCTTCAAATTCTTACGGAGATCATAGGAACCCACAAGGCAAGTCATGTACTGAGGATGGTGAGACAAAGCATCCGCAACGCGATTGTAATAACCTTTCTTGTGCTTAAGTTCAAAATCATACACATCAATCTCATGCAGCCAGCGGGTCAATGTGGTTGATGGATTAATCTGTGTCTGAATCCATTTCAAAGTCTCGTGATCTAAGAACACTTTGAAATGACGACCCAAGAGGTGGTGTTTCCAATGATCTAGTGCCCCTCTCAATGTGTAGAGTTCTCGCATGTAAGTGGAGGCAACCACCTTGTGACTGGGCATGTGTTTGCTGTAATATTCAAGCGAACGTAAGCCATCGCCGTCATCTTGCTGCAGCACTGCACCAATCCCATACAAGCTTGCATCCGTAGTTACTACGAATGTAAGTTTGGGATCTGCAATGTGGAGCACCGGATGACTCACCAAAGCCTCCTTCAACGCTTGGAAGGTTGTTGTGCATTCCCCATCCCATGTGTAAGACACATTCTTACTTGTCAACTTGGACAGCGGACAGGCGATAATAGAGAATTTGGGTACAAACTTACAGTAGTATGACGCAAGACCAAGAAAAGAATGCAACTCGCGGACATTGGTCGGTTGAGGCCAGTTGCGGAAGACCTCAACTTTGGTTGCCTCAGGCTCGAGGCCTGCAGCAGACAACCGATGTCCAAGGTAGATGACACTGTCCCTCCCAAACTCATATTTCTCCAAGTTGAGATGAAGTTGCGTATCCTTGTAACACTTCCTCAAGTGTCTCATGTGCTCCTCCATCGACTTGCTGAAGATTAGTACATCATCCAGATAAACAACAACAAATCGATTGATCTGATTGCGGAACACCTTGTCCATGAGACTTTGAAAGGTGGCCGGTGCATTCGTGAGACCGAAGGGCATGATGGTAAACTTAAATAGCCCGTCGCGAGTGTTGTATGCATTTTTGTGCTGGTCTGCAGGGTCGACTTCAATCTGGTGGTAGCCAGACTTAAGATCTATCTTGCTGAAGACCTTGCACCCACCTGCAACATCAAGCAGATCATCAATACGCGGCAAAGTATATGCATTCTTTCTTGTTATTCTATTCAGTCCGCGGTAATTGATACACATCCGTAGTTTGCCTCCTTTCTTAGGGACAAACAAAACCGGTGCACCGAATTCGGATTCACTTGGCTTGATCCATCCTTTCTCAATCATGTCATCAATCTGTCTTCATAACTCTTCCAATTCGCCTGAGCCCATTCGATAGACACAACCTTTTGGAGAAGTGCTACCTTCTATCAACTCGATCTTGTGTCGGACCGGATGCACGAGAACTCCATGCGGTTTGGCCAAGACTTCAGGAAATCGGTTGAGAAGGTTGCGAAGTTCTGATGGGATCTCCAGAGCTGGATCATCACATTCAGGTGCAAGCATCTCGGATAGCATCGGTGCAGCCAAAACAACAGGATTTGAAGCAGAGTCGTTTGGACTAGAAGTAGATTTAGTAGAGGTAGAAGTAGTTGCATTAGAGGGAGAAACGACATGCAAAGAAGAATCACTATGTACAACAGAAATAGAAGGCACATGAGCAGGCCAAACAAAGGCTATATACATTTGCTCATCAACTTTGCGCCTGCGCCACTTTTTGCAGAATTGCATTGCAGTGCGAAAAGTTACTTGGGACTCGCGGGGCTCATCCAAGAGGACTGGACGCTCGATTCCCATGGCATCTTTGCCCATGAACTGTGTCCTTCCACGTGGTTCTTTCACATTGGGCTTGCAACCAGCCCAAGCCAATAACCGCGTCGAAGGGGCACTGATCAAGGACATAGAAATTCAACTCATGCGTGATTGTGCGGTCTGCGTCAAAGGTAGTCGCACACCTTTGACTGCATGCGGAGATATGACAATCTCTTGGTTGCCCACTTGGGTCCGACAAGGATTCTGCAAAGTCACTTGCTTCATTCCCAAGCGTGTCTTACGAATGTCGTGCGGGGATAAGTAGTTAGCGGTTGCGCCACAATCAGCCAACGCACGGATGTAACGGCCGTTAATGCGGAGTTTGAAGAAGATCAACTTCGTTTTCCCTTGCGCGTGTTCTTGCTTTATGTGAGCCTAGCACGACAAGAGAGCATGAAAGTCGATTTTTTCCGACTCCACCCAAGGCTCCTTGTATAGGATGTGTATTTTCTCAGCCTTGGAATCAGCATCAGATGGGGTCTCAGGAGAGGTTTGCTGAATGGGATCAGAATCCAATGAAGGAACTGCACTTACATGTTCAGCCCCTCCGTCTGTAGAGCGTGCTGATGATGTCTCTACGCCCGTTGCTGGTTTCCGTGTTGCAATCTGGAACAATGTTGGACTGAGTGTCCCGGTTTGGTGCAATGCAGGCTAACCCCTTTCTTCACCCTGTGTTTCCACTCACTTTCACTTATCCAGAGATCTACCAATGGTTTTGTGGCAGAATCTTACGGTTTGGGTGGAATGTTCGCTCCCTTGGGAAGAAGAATGATGTTAGTGTTGTTCTTCATTGTAGTCCTGGGTCCCTTACTTTTGAAGGCAGTTTTCTTGAAGGCATTCATGGATTCTTCGTCATGTACATACTCAGACTCACGAGTTGACGAAGAGCAAGATGCCTCGCAACCTTGCTCTTGATCGTCATCAAGAGAAGAATCCTTTGCGAAGGTCTCCTCGTCATCCTCAAGTAGATCGTGCGCTGAAAAACGGTTGCTGCCTAGAAACCGTTTGCGGTCGGTGGCGTTTTCGCCACCTGATCCACCCGGGAGGTCTTGTGCCTCCAGCTTGACTAAGTCCCGCATGAGGGTAAGCCAATTTGTATACGATATGAGTCCGGACTGTACCTTTAATCACATCCAAGCAAGACTGCGCAGTCATCTCCAAATCAGAAGTAGCAAAAAGTTTACTAACGTATTGTTGCAGACTATGCATGGTGCCGGTCCACTTGCTGTGCTTGAGCTTTTCAAGCTTAAGTCTAGCTTTGGCTGCAGCATGTGGATCAGCATACTGTTTGATCAAGAGTTCCTCGAGTGTGGCTATAGGCGTAGCCTTCAGCCATTTGTTCAAGTCTATTCTTTTATAGCCTGTGTGCACAACTTGGATTTCCAAGAAACCCCTTACAGCGGGTTCCACATTGGTCCCTAGGACCGACGACTGAGTAATTGGGAGTGTCCCCAGCACATCAAAGTGGGATCGCATAGAGTTGATCCAGGATTCAATGTCGTCCTTTCAGTCATATTTAGACGAAATTTGTGCCGCCTTTCTATCCATGTAAGGAAAGTTGCACCTAGGACCAGCGGTTGCTGGGTTCGAATTCGGGGCTGCAACAGTTCCAAAATGCCCTGCGTTGCCAATTGTCGCTGCAGCAGCGGCAGCAGCAACAGCGGGGTATGGACCTGCAACAGATCCGGTTAGGCTGTTGGTCACACTCAAAGAAGAGGAAGAAGAAGAAGAAGACATGGTTAAAGGGGCAAGAACGGACCGACACGCAGCACTAGAAGCAGGGTAAGCAGGCGGAAGGACATTTTGGGCCGGCTGCAAGTTAGCAAACTGTTGCAGCTGGTCACGGTGCTGCTGCGCCATCCGGGCCATATCCTCGCGCAACTTCTTGAGTTTGTCGAACACCTTTGCGAGTTGGCCAGTATGGTATTCAACAGCCCGGACTTCTACTAAGGCCCTGAGGAGTGGGAGAATATTCTCTTCCACCTCAGCATCAGTTAAGGCGGGCATAGTACTGAAGACGGCTTCATGAGCCTTTACTTTGTATCAGAGAGATCTGATTCCGCCACACAGTCTGGTCCGACTACGTATGAGATCCTCTCAGGCCTAGCCGGACTCAGCTCCGTGAAGATACAGCAAATCAAATTCAAAGTGTACTACGAAAATGCAAGAGAGAATTGAGTGGTGTCCAAGGTGCAAGTCAGGCGGCGGATCGTGCGGTAAAGTCTGATAAAACGTCTCATCTGAGATCCCCTCAGCAGTGAGTGTCCTGGTCCGAAAGCATGAACTCCGAGTCCAAACCAGATAGAGCGAGGTAACCGACGTCAACAGATTTGGGCCTGAGGGGCTCTTCTTGTTTGGGTCCGGTCCCACTGAATTCCGAATGGTCCCAATGGAGTCAGAACCGGGTCCCAACCAACAAGAGTTCCACAAAGACCTACTTTCTACCCCTACCGAATTGAAAAACGAAATTTAGCCCCAGAAAGAACCTACAGACCACAGCCGTTCAGAATGAAATAAACAAAGCACTGTAGAGAGATATAGCATGGCAAGCAAGACACTCCATTCATTCACTCGTCAGGTGAGTAAGCAGTTCACACACCTCACACACAATCAAGACTATGGAGGATGGAAGAAGAACCCAGAAAACCCCAACAGGCAGTCAATTCCATGCACACACACATGGGCACCCTGGCGGCATGGCACTTACCTGCGTGGCTGGGCTCTTGAGATGAAAGAACTCACCCCCCTCTCACATAGTCCTCCTGACCCAATTAGCATCCTCTACACTAGTGTCCTATCATCTAGGAGGGTCAACATCTACCCCGAAGTACAAAGCCGGATCCCCCGTCCATGTTGAAGATCAAAGCAGCAACTTGCAGTCATTAGGTGCAGATATGGCTGCCACCCTCAAGCTCGCCTAACTTGAGGGGAGCCCTAAAGTCACTCCTCGTCTTCCTTGAAGTCCAGATTCAAGTTGTTGGTGCCCTTCACTGTTGCCTCTCTCAAGTTGCATCACGAAGTCCCACCCTGTGTCTCGCCCCCACAAACATGCACTCAAGAAACCTGGCCGGGTCTAGTGTCGACCCTACACGGCCCTGCCAGGTGGGGGCAACTTCCGTTTACCACGCTGCCCCACTTAACCCTAACTTCCACCCTAGCCCTAAGTGGTTAGCCCTTACCACTAGGGTTAGGGTTATGGCGGCAAAGTCAACTCTCGCCAGCAAGTAGAATCCGCTTTGATACCAATGTTACGATCCTGGCCAATTTCGAAGTATACAAACATCAGAAAGTACGATGACGTCCAATTGCAAAAAGAAATGAATGAACTTGAGAGGGGAGAGAGGGAAAGAAGAAGAAGAAGAAGTAAGGAAGAAGAAGATGATGATGTACTCCAGCATAGACCAATGACAAGGCTCTTCTTCCTCGCCAACCAATCTCCTCCTCCTTATCTCCTCCCCTCTTATTCAAACAAGAAATAACAATAATAATGTTGAATGGCAATAATAATGTTGAATGGCTGAACCAGAATCAATGTCTGAATCCCACTTCTACTGCAGGCACAACATGAGGTCCACCATAGCCATGGTCACCCTTCCCCTTCCTCTACATACAGGCCAAGGCTATGGCAGAGTACTGAGGGTTCTCCCTCCTGTCCAAAGGACAACCCAAAGCAGCTGTGACGCTGCCCTTCTGTCCCCAGGTCAACTCCATGCAGCTATGCCGCTGCCCACTCAACCGCCATGCCTGACTCTGTCCCGAGCTTCCTTGATGCGGCACTACCCCCACTGGGGCCTTCCAGATGTAGCGCCTAACAAGGTGATGAAGATGGTGTCTACCATAGCCAGGTAAGTACCCCACCACTCTCCTCCTTGGTCCCCTTCTCCCTCCTCCTCCTACCGGTAGAGCTCCACCATAGCCAAGGTGGAAGCTCCGGGCTTCTTCCTCCCAGCAGCGCTGTAGTACCCAGCGCCACTCCAGCCAGCGCTCCAGCAGCGTGTCGCCGAACTTGCACACTGAAGAATGAGGCCGAGCTCTTGCCTCGGCCTCTTGATATAGCGGCCTGCTTGCCTCCTCGGCGGTGACTTCCAGGCCGCTCGGCCTCCCAAGCAACCGGTACCTCCTCCCTTTCGGAGGGAAACATCATTGCAGACTCTGATATTCCCCGTACANATAGCCAGGTAAGTACCCCACCACTCTCCTCCTTGGTCCCCTTCTCCCTCCTCCTCCTACCGGTAGAGCTCCACCATAGCCAAGGTGGAAGCTCCCGGCTTCTTCCTCCCAGCAGTGCTGTAGCACCCAGCGCCACTCCGGCCAGCGCTCCAGTCGCCGAACTTGCACACTGAAGAATGAGGCCGAGCTCTTGCCTCGGCCTCTTGATATAGCGGCCTGCTTGCCTCCTGGGCAGTGACTTCCAGGCCGCTCGGCCTCCCAAGCAACCGGTACCTCCCTTTCGGAGGGAAACATCATTGCAGACTCTGATATTCCCCGTACAGGCTCTAGACTCAGACTGGATGGACTGGTACCGGCCTAGACCTAGCCTACCGCTACTGGGCCTCTAAAAATGCCAACTTTGTCTTCTTCTGCTCGGCCTCTAGTACCCGGCACATCTACTGCTACTGGGTGCGGTGCCGGCCTACCTGCTACTTGAGTGTTTTTCCGCTGCTCTAAGCACCGCGGGCCCCTGGCTCCGCTACTTGAGTGTTTTCCCTGCTGCAACCCTCAATGCCACGGCCACAGGTAAGTAGCGGCCCTACGGGCCTGCCAAGCAAGTACCCTTGTGGGTCACACACACACTCATGCCGACAAACACTCAACTGTCACGCAAGTCAACAGGCATACACACATACAGACTTAGAAAACACAGCAGAATGCGGGAATCTCAGCAAGGCATCCATTCCATCGGCAGAACTTCAGAAATCAGCAGTGTTCTCAGTCTGTGTTATGGTGGGTCATTACATAAGCCCTGACCTGACCGTGACTGACCTCTCTCACGTAGTACAAGACAGTGCAGTGGAATGCTAGAATACCAATGACTAGCCCAATCAATGTCGCAATGCAGACCAAACATACATCATCCTCATCACAAGATGTGAAGGGGCCTGGCGCTACACACAGGAAGAATGCGCCAGGTCCAGACCATACACAGACGAAGAGGAGGGGATCAGACGAATAAGAGGGGGAAGATGGGAATGTCGTCAACACCAAGTCTTCGGTACAAGTCCCAAATAATCCCTCGTCAAATGTCTGAAGCCCAATGACGAGTCAACATCCAAATGTCACCAATCCCTCTCTTTCTCGTAGTCTGCTGATGCAGTGAAGTAAGGTAGCGAGAGGGTGAGGGGGAGATTGTGGACTGAGAAGAGGAAGAAGAAACTCTCTCTCTCTCTCTCTCTCTCTCTCTCTCTCTCTCTCTCTCTCT